TAGTCTGTGCTGGCTAAAGCATGTTAACTTGGCATCTTTTCATCCATCACCTGGCATTTTGTATTTAACCTGTTCCATGGTAATATAGCGCCCTCTAATCCAGGATATTGTATGTATTGATGTTTTTTTTTTTTTTTTTTTTGGGGGGGAGCTTCTGTAATTTAGTAATCTTTCCTTCATTCAGGTTTTGCTGAGTCACTTTTCAGAGATATTATCTAAGAAAACTGAGGAGGAGCTAATAGCTACAATAAAAACTTAAATTCATTCAATCTATTACATGAACACAGTAGCATAGAACTAATATTTCTTGTCATCAATTAGATTGGAGTCTAGATGACCACACACACCATCATCAAAAAATACGCTTTCAGTGGTTTTCAGTAATGAAACTGATAGCATGTTTCCTAAGAATTTAAGAGGACACAAATGTAAGATACTACAAATATAAGGGCCCTCGATGACAGCTAAATTTCCCAATCCCACCACGACACAGAGCCAGCTCTGTGAATTCTAATTGCCACGTCAGGGCCTGTTTAATCTTATGTGACAGGACCTGGGCTCCCTGACTCTTTGATAAGGTTATTTCAGGACACACAGACTTCAGGTTCTTGAGGGATTTTACAGAAGCTGAATACTTTATCAGTAGAGAAAAGACAGTGGTTTGGGGGTGAGCCTCTTTCCCCAGCTATGGTTATCGTGGCCACGCTGAATGGATAGCATGTGTGTGTGGATGGACCCAGGGTCATCGTCTGGCATTTCAGTCCTCACTGCCCCCGGCCAGGGTGGGAAGGCACAGGGCTGTGGAGTTGGTCAGTGTGGAAACCAAGGCTCACAGAGCCACAGACCTGCTCGCAGGTGCAGGATTTCTGTCTCTTGGTGCAATATGGATTTAGTTCCCCAACTGTTTCCCAGACCAATCCAAGGCCACTCCGGGGCACACATTACAAATGTCCATTCTAGACCCCAGTCAGATCTATGGAAACAGAAGCTCAGGGGCTCAGGGAGTGGGCCCTCCAGGGGATTCTGACGAATGTTCAAGTCTGAGAACCACTGCTTTCCATTAAACAGAATTCTACACTGAGTTCCAGGTTTCTTTTTTTTGGGGGGGGGGAGGGTGCGTGTGGGGTGAGGGCAGCATGACGACCAGGAATTGAACTCAGGGGAACTCAACCACTGAGCMACATCCCCAGCCTTATTTTGTATTTTATTTAGAGAYAGGGTCTCACTGGGTTGCTTAGTGCCTCACTATTGCTGAGGCTGGTTTTGAATTTGGGACCCTCTTGCCTCAACCTCCTGAGCCACTAGGATTACAGGCGTGTACCACTGCACCCGGCTGAATTCCAGGTTTCAAAAATATTTCTGACAAAATAATTTTAAAGCCAAGGCCTCCTAGTGGTGTAGTGGCACTCACCTGCAATCCCAGTGACTCAGAAGGCTGAGGCAGGACCTTGGCTCTATCACGGGGCTACATCCCCAGACCTTTTTATTTTGAGACAGGGTCTTGCAAAGCTGCCCAGACTGGCCTTGCCATCCTCTTGCCTCAGCCTCCCGAGTCACTGGGATAACAGTTGTGCACCACCTCCAAATGCTCTCTCGATGCTTAGTGCAATGACATGAACAGTCCTTGGTTCTTATTCTTGTCCTGAGCAGAATTGTGACTGCTACCTACCTTCTCTGAGCTGTAGTTTCCCTTCTTGTAAAATGAAGTATCATACTGAACTTGTAGTATTAAGGGCTAAAATGAAATAATGGTTGTGGGGAGCCTGGCAGTTATAAATAAACATTGTTTTTCTCCCCACCCACTCCAAAAGGAGTCCAGCTGAGATGATCACCAATTTCATGTGGTTTAAAGGAATCCTGCACTCAATGCTTTATTAATTCATTTGAAATTTGCTGAGGATGCATCCAAAAGAACAGGCTTTTTGTTTTCCACTTTTCCCCCTCAGTGAATTATCCCCCTGGTTTAGTGACATTTCAGACTTTTGAGTGCCATTTCAAACCTCAGAGTTTATTAAAGACTTCTAGTGAAAAATTTTTAAGTGATGAGGCCAAACACCTATGTAGGGTTCCCTCCCATGCATGTTCAAGTCTGAGAACCCCTGCTTTCCAGAAGTAGCAGAACTCTACTTCTGGACGGGTGCACAAGGCTAACTGGTGTCCATGATCCCGTGGCTTGCAGTATACCCTGAAGGGCAGGTTCTTATGAGTCCTGTTCAAATGTCGACTTGGCCGCCTGGGTTCCCAGCTCTTTCCTTCCCCCACAGCAATGCCCCCGTCTAACGCCCAGTCAGTGCTGGGGATCAGATGAGCTGATTCTATGTGAGGATGGCTCACTGCAGGTCCAAGCTTGCTGTCTGKATCCTTGACTCACTTGAAGGGTTCGCTCAGCTAAGAGCTCCTTACACTCCACCTGGCCCTTCTTTAATGGTAAAAGATGTTACTGTTCCCAAGTCCCTCAGCACCAGGCTCTCAATGTGTCCTACACATTTCAGTGTTTCCAACTGGAAAGGGTCTGGGGTGGCAGGGAAGCAACACAACTGCCAGAGTTGAAATCCTGGTTTTGTCATGAGCTGGCTATATAACTAACTATGGGTAAATTCTTTAACTTCAGCCCTCGGTTTCCTTATCTGTAAAATGGGATAATGATACCTACCCTTCAGAATTACAATGAAGTTCAAGTGAAATCATACAAAAAGAACATACTGTTAAGAATATAACCGGCAGCCAATATATTTGCTATTATTTCAGTTCCTTAAGTTTCCCAATTGCTGTTTCCCAAAGGATCAAAGAAACTTATCCCACTATAGTCTTTCTTTCCCACCAAGCAATTGGTTGAAGACAGGCAGCCAAAGAAGCAGGGAGGGCAGTAAAGAGCCTGTGAAAACTCCAAAGTGATATAACAGGAACGATTAAGAATCTTCAGGAAGCATTTGCTAGATTTTGCTCCTGAATGACCCATGAACAGGGACAACGTCATCACACCCTTGACTAATGCCAGGTGGAGTCCAGGACAACTTAGGACATGAAGATGATGATGGTAAAGAACATTCCTTCATTTCAACAAATAGGTAAAGCACCATTCTTGACTCTGGGTCAGACCCCTGGCCTCACAGAGGAAAGATCTCTTATTACTAGACATAACCAGGGGAATCCTCTTCCACTCAACAAATGTGCTACTGAATCTCAGAGTTTTCAGAGGGGTAAACAGTGAAAACCACCAGTCAATCATTGTTGGTTCCTGCATGCTACACCAGTCCTCTGCCAAAGGCAGGACACACCATCACTCATCCACACAGCAGGGAGTGGCCTCTGACATAAGGAGTGCCACTGGACAAATTTGCAGATTTGGAAACTTCAAGTTTCCATGGTAAATAAGTAAGAAAGTCAGGAGTGGCTCAAAAACCAAAGCCTTACCTAGGTTACAGCAATGGATTTCAGTAGGTGTATTTTTCAACAAGCTGTAGAAAGAAGTGAAATTCAGCCCAGCCTATGCTAGCAGCCAAATCACCCCGAGATACACCTTTAGGAGACTCACTACAGCTAAAAAATTCTTAAATGACCCAGACCTTATTTAGCAGGCCAAGTCTTCAGTTGAGATTTAAAGTCGGTTCAGACTTAGCCTCACTGGAGCTTTCCAGCTTCATTTCCTGTGGGCTTCTTGTCATCTCTCAAGTGGCGTCTGTGCTGCTGTACCCTGTACCTGTTGGCTCACAATGTACRTGTCTCCCTCGCTGCCTCTAGTCATGGTCAAGAGTCAACCCTTCCCCAGGACTGTCTGGGATCTCAGTCCTTCCGTAAGATTCTTCCTAATCCCACCCCCAGGAAGATGTGATCCCAGCTCTCGAACCTGCTGGGCTTTATAGCTGCTCAGATATCCACTCCCATTAATGTAATTGACTCATCTTACTTCCTGTCTGTAATTCTCATACCACTTAGCCCCGTGGCTCTGCTGATTGAATCAGGCTCACTTATGACTTCCTGTAAACAGCGAGGTAAGGATATGCCACATTATTAACAGCATCTTATTTTTATCTGTGCTGCTGTACCCTGTACCTGTTGGCTCACAATGTACGTGTCCCCGCTACTTGGGAAGCTGAGGTGGGAGGATCACTTGAGTCCACAGGTTCAAAACCAGTCTGGGCAACATAGTGAGACCTCCATCTCAAAACAACAACACTGATTGTGGCTCAGTGATAGAGAGCTTGCCTAGCACGTGTAAGGCACTGGGTTCAATCCTCAGCATCAAATACAAATAAATAAATAAAATAAAGATATTGTGTCCATCTATAACTAAAATAATAAAAATAATAAAAAATAAAGGGGGGCTGGGGATGTGGCTCAAGCAGTAGCGTGCTCGCCTGGTACGCGTGTGGCCCGGGTTCAATCCTCAGCACCACATACAAACAAAGATGTTGTGTCCACCAAAAACAAACTAAAAAATAAATATTAAAAAATTCTCTAAAAAATAATAAAGGGAGGCTGGGGGGTGCAAATCAATGGCAGAACACTTGCCTAGCATGTGCGAAGCTCTGGGTTCAATTCAGCACCAGAGAAAAATAAAAATTAAGAAAAAGCAAAATAGCCAGGCATGGTGGTACATGCCTATAATCCCAGCAGCTTGGAGACTGAGGCAGGAGGATTGTGAGTTCAAAGCCAGCCTCAGCAAAGGCAAGGCTCTAAGCCACTCAGTGAGACCCGGTCACTAAATAAAATACAAAAAAAGGGCTGGGGATATGGCTCAGTGGTTGAGTGCACCTGCTGAATTCAATCTCTGTACCCCTCCCTAACAAGAAAAAAGAACAAGTAAAATAAAACTAATCTAATTTAAGTGAAAGTTTACTAAAATCACTTTCTTTTAATGATGAAACTGGAATTTCTACTCATTCTTACCAAATGTCAATCTGTACATTTATAAATCTGCTAGATTACCTTAGAGGAAGATGGCACCCAGTTTTCCAGCTCTTTGAAGTAACCCCTGAACCTTTTTAAGCCATTCTCACCTTGATCCAATAACATCAAAAAGATGTTGCCATCGATCGTTGATTTTGTTGAGCTTGTCATCGATCTCAGCTGCTCTTGTCTTGCTGCTGGCCTTGATCAACTGGTCGCCCATCTGCTTTAGCTGTAACTTGTTTTCACTGAACAAGTTTATTTCTTCCATGCAATCCTGGTAAAGGCACCAAAAAAGTCTGCATTATCCCTGCAAACTCATTTCTGCTCCAGTCATAAACACACAGTTGCTGCTTAGAATCCTTTTAAAAATCAAAAAATTCTCAGGCCTGTTAACACAACTCAGCTGTGAAAGGCTAAAAACAAACCCGGCCCACCAGGCAAATGCGAAATATATAAAGCAGCAGTTAGTTTGTCAATTCAATAGTCCCTCGGGTTGCTCTGTGGGGATTAGTGATCATTTCAAAATCATGGGCTTCACTGCTGTTGGTTCTCCCCTTTGGCAAGGTGATCACCTTATAATAACCTCTGGAGAGGGCTGGGGGTGTGGCTCAATGGGAGAGCGCTTATCTAGCATGAGTGAGGTCCTGGGTTCCATCCCCAGTGTTGCAGCAAAACAAAACAACCTCCAAAAACCCCTGAGAAACCAGTCCTGGTTTAGGGCCTGAAGGATGCTCGTGAGCTCCTTCTCTGGCCAAACTTCCTAACCAAGGGCAAGCAACTCCCCTCAGTACCATGTCCACCTATGATGGTCTCACACTCCCATCTCTCTGGAATCTTCTGTCAACGTTTCCCTCCAAAGGATCAAAAAAAAAAAAAAAATGTTCCTGGAAACACACCCTAATACAGTTTACCTCTCTGAGCCTGGCATCAGGAGGGCAGAGCAGCCCAAGGTCATCATAACCGCACCCACCTGGGCACCCCTGCTTACTTACCTTCTGCAACTTTTCAATCATTTCTTCAATGCTAATATCTGCTGTCTGTAGAACCTTGTTTTCCATCTGGACCAGCCACGCACACAACTCTTTATTTTTTTCATTGAACACGATCCATGAATTGAGTCTGTCTTCAATCTCCTGTTTGCGTGTAGCCACCTGAGTATAAAAATGCATCTGGCAGCTGAGGAGAGCCAGGAAACCCCTCCTGCTCTCTCACTGAAAGGACTATGAATTTCATTCCTTCTAATCAGCATCTCTACACACTTCAATCTATTTCTTCCTTTTAAAACCTAGAGTTTAACAGCAACAGAAGTGTTTTATACCTTTAATAACTAAAGTAACCAAATACTGCATTGCACCTGACTGAAAGGATTAAGCTGTATGCAATGCCTCTCTATTATTATCAGGTTATATGAAAAATTAGAAATCAGAAAAGTTAGTCAAATATCTTAAGCATCACCCGATTTCCACTGTTTCCTATTTTTCAATATGCATTTATTAACTACTTACTATAGCTAAATTGTAACTTTATGATCCAAATCCTTTCCTTCTAAAAAACGGATCAAGTCCTTATGCCTATAAGGCCAATGTCCTATTTAATTTGAAAATTAATTATAATCCAGATCATGATATAAATTACACATCTGTAATGCAAATAGACCAGAAAAATTGCAGTCCCCGAAATGTTTAAACAAAGCAAAACAACACACAGAACGGTGCACGTCATTCATTTAATCCACCGTTCCATTATACACTGTAGTTTTGGGATGGAAACCATGAAAATATCACCAAAAACTGGTTGGCCACAGGCTGACCTCCATTATGAATAAGTGGCCCCTAAACTGACATCAGCAAAAGGTCCTTCTCCTTACACTGAAATTTATCATCTAAATAAATTTACATTTAGATAATGAAAATTAGCTTCATTAAATGGTCAGAAGTATTTCTTTTTTAGGTCTTCAAAAAATCTTTAAAATCTTAAGAGTTAAAAGGAGATAGCTAAGATCTTTTAGCAAAGTTTTAACACTTTGCTTTATAGACCAGGAAATGAAGGTTGAATTCTCTGGGATTTTCTTACTATGTACAAAAAAACCCCTGCTCTTTTTAGACAGAGGGAGGCAAAAATACCAAATGCTGGACATCCTACCCAGACTAACCTGTTAAAAAGGCTTGAAAATCTACACTTTAAAAAAGCAAGCTTTTGGTTTCCATTCCTCGGGGCATCTATTTATCTTAGCTTTTAAAACTCTTGGCATTTTGAACAGTGTCCCGATTGACTTCATAATGGTAACAATTAAGAACATCTGGACCCCAGTCTTTGTGTCTAACTTTTCAAATACTTTTCACATATTCTAAACATTCTTTTACAGAAAACCTAAATAATAATAATAAAAAAAAAAAAACTTACAAGAACATTTGAAATTAGGGCACATTGTGATTATCAAACACTAAAATCAAGGAGTTTTTGATATTTAATTCACAAAAAAATGAGATTAAAGATTTTCTTTTCCTTAGAATTACATGTTCTTAAAACAAAGATCTTTAAAGGCTATTTGAACACTTTAACCCCATTCCTGTCACACTGGTAAACTGTACAACCCCAACCACAGTCCCCTTCCTGATAAGTAGAAGGGGGGCCCCTGAGAGACAGAACAGCAGTTGGCCACTTCTGTAACAGTGGCCCCTTCACCTCTGAATATAGCCCTCATTGTTCTAAGATTTCTTTTTTTAATGTTTTTTTTTTCTCTCTTCTCCTCTCTCCCCCTCCCTAACAATATTGGGGAGACAGTGTTATCCTTTCTTTCCTCTACTTAATTTCCTTTGAACACACCTATTAGAGGAAGGAGATGCCAGCGGTGGATCTGGGAAGTGAATATCTCCCAAATTAACAAGTAAATCTTAACAGGCCAACAGGGCGCCCTGGGACCCCCTACCAGAGCACACCTGGAATGTAACCTTTGAAGAGTTCCTTTAAAAGGACCCTGTCCCTCCAAATCGAGAGGACCACAGCCTTTGGGACAAGAGTCCCCTGTGTTTCTTCTTTGCTAGCAAAGCAATAAACCTTTTTTTTCCTTTTTCTCAAAACTGTGTCCTCATTAAATTGGTATTGATTGGTATTGGGACAGGGACCAAGCTTTTGGTTACACTTCTTTTAGAGAGTTTAAAAAAACTAACTCCTTGAAATAAATCTGCGATGGCTTGTGAGTGCAGAGTTCTCCCATGAACACTCCCACGCCTGCAGACACTAGGTGAGACTCCCCTGTTAGGCCCAGAAGGGACACTGCAGTGAGAGAGACCTCTTCTAATACACCAAATTAGAAGTGCTGGGACACCAAGCAGAGAGCAGAGGCCGCACATCTGCTCATGGCTGCAATTCTCCCTGCTTACKGTGATTTAAAAAAACCAAAACAAAACAGTGAGCAAACTTGCAGCATTTAGTCTGCTGAAACAAAAGGGTCAAATCTGTTAAACCCTGCTGCTGCCTTCTAAAGGAACRGCAGCCGGCCAGGGGACCCGCAGAAAAAGGGCCTCTCTTTCAATGAAAATTAACCTCCTTTCTACTTTGTCTGGCCTTCAGGACATTTCGATCAACTCCCAAGCAGCCGTACCCTGCAGTTGACTGACTTACTCTGAGGCAGAGGTCCTCCCATTGTCTGTGCAAATGCTCTATCTGCTCCTTCAAAACCATCACGTCCTCCGAGAGAATGTGCCGGGTTAAGTCGCCCTTCATGGTGTGAAGTTCTTGCAAGTTCTGAGTCCAGTTAGTCAGAGACTTCTCTAGTTCCTGCATTAAACACAAGAGGGTGTGTGTGTGTGTGTGTGTGTGTGTGTGTGTGTGTGTGTGTGTGTGTGTTGGTTGGGGGAGCCTTCAACTCAAGCTGCTGTTGTTTCCAAACCTGTAGGCTAATCCTTTGATTAGACTCTGGGGGAGGGGAGGCCAGGGAAGGGGAGGGACCGGCAGAATTAGAAACAGCCCTGCGGGCTCCGCAGTCCTGGTTGGCCAGCCCTTCACCACCTTTCTCTCCAAGGAATGCTCTCTCCGCCTTCCTTCTCAATTCCTCAGGTAGTTCAGATTTTTATATCATGCATCCTATTTTAAAGTCATGCACGTCTTTACCTTATTTAGTATATTGGAGCAGTATATTGGAGTCTAATAACAATGTTGCACACATTTTTAATTCGGAAACTGTTACAGATAGGTAACAGTGTGATTTCCTGCTTTTAGATTGCTGCTTACTGTTGTTGTCAAATAATGACAATTTCTGTTCAGAGGAAATTATTTCTGGCTAACTTTCTAAATGAATATAAAGTGGAAGAAAACATGAATTCTTTGCTAATAACTGACAGAGATTAGTTAGATAATTTCCTCTGGCTATAGAAACTTCTATTCTTTATATCTCTATTTACCTTTTATTTTACATCTATGTTATTATTTTTGTGGTTCTGGGGATCAAAACCAGGCCTCACACATGCTAGGCAAGCACTCAACCACTGAGCTATACCTTYGACTGGTATCTATCTCTGAAAATGAAGGGTTTTTCAAATTAAAACTCTGAATTCTTGGGCTGAGGTTGTAACTCAATGGTAGAGCGCTTGCCTTGCAAGTGGAAGGCACTGGGTTCGAGCCTCAGCACCACATAAAAATAAAATAAAGGTATTGTGTCCATCTACAACTAAATAAAAATTAAAAAACAAATTCTGAATTCTAGAATTGAATCAAGAAAATTACTTTCATCATAAAGAAGGTCAAAGGGAACAGTAAGCCCATTCAACAGTCCTTTAGGTTTTTCTTGTGCAAGGCACCTTTTAAGGGTCTCCATTCCTATCACTAGGAGTCTGAAAGAAGGTCCTATGTCATTTACACCAGAAATCAGTCTGAAGGGTGGCCACAATAAAAAATGTCTTAATTCTGATTGACTTTTAGAATTCTAGAAGTTACACTGGCATGCCTTCATAACTCGCCAACAAAAATTACATTTAGTAAAATGCGCTGGGGAATTCTTTTTAATGACTGTGTGCAGATGAAGAAACGGTACCTTCATCAGAGAGAATAAATGTTTTAGACCCATGAGTCTGCAGTGGAACACCACGAATGGCTTCCACAACGTAAAAGGGGCGACTCACTCACTGAGGTGCACCACTCACCAAGTTAAAGGGCTTCACTGAGGTTCCCAATCGGGTGCTAGGAAGCTCAACCTGTCCAGTCCCCTGCTCAGAGGCCCAGCTCTGATGCCTGCACAGTAGGCAGGTGTTTTTTATCCATCCAGGTTTAAATCAATTCTTGTRATACCTACAATTGAAGGGTATACCCAGCGGCTCAGGAGGCTAAGGCTGGAGGATCAAGAGTTGAAAGCCATCCTTAGCAATTTAAGGAAGCCCTAACCAACTCAGAGAGACTTGTCTCTAAATAAAACATAGAAAAGGGATGTGGATGTGGTTTAGTGGTTAAGTGCCCCTGGGATCAAACTCTGGTACCAAAAAAAAAAAAAAAAAAAAAAAAAAGGATTGGACTCCTCCTACAACCCACACACTTTGGGTAGTGCTGGGAATTGAGCCCAGAGCCTCTTTCACACTAAGGAAGGRCTCTACCACTGAGCTATACTCCCAGCCCAAGATATAGGACTTTTGAATATGGACAATCCTATGATTTTAAATAAGTATTGCCAAATTGGGTCCTCAAATGTCCTCTACATACTTTTTGGTGTTGAGTTTTATATATTGGGGGGCAAGTTTAATATGTAGGAATGATAACTAATGATTCTTTAAGTTTTCCCCCAGTAATGGGGATTGAACCTAGGGGCACTATATTATTGAGCTACATCCTCAGCCTTTTTTCTTTTCAAATAGGGTCTCCAAAATTGCTGAGGCTGGCCTTAAACTTGCCTCCTGAGTTGCTGGGATTATAGTTGTGTGCCACCATGCCCAGCATACTTTCTGAATTTCAAACCATGTGACTATATTACATATTCAAAAATAATTTAAAAATTAAAATCACCCCTAGGACTAAAATTTTATAAACACAAATATCTAGCAATTTTCATAATAGTATGATTAGGCTATATATGAAAAACTTATAAAGAAATCTTATATRGGTTGAGTATCCCTTATTCTTGAGATCAAGAAGTATCTCAGACTTCAGAGTGATTTTGGAACATTTGCACAGCCTTTACTGGTTGAATATCTATCCCTAATCTGAAATGCTCTGGTAAACATCAACATAGCTCTCAAAGTTTTCRATTTGGGGGTATATTTGGATGGCACACACTGTCCTAGACAGGCTTCAGGTTACTTGGAACCTTTTTGGAATATGGTCAGGGGTTGAATGAATTCAATACTTTTTGCCTCTGCCTGATTCTTTCCTTTGATAAATAGGATGCTAAATGTAGGGGCATTGAAAATATTCTGCTGGAAGCTGAGCAGTGTGGTACTTAGGAAAAAGGGTTTTCACTTCCCATTCTGCACAGGTTTTTAGACTTTATGGAATCAATTTCCTGGAGATGAACTAAGAAAGTGATTCTGAGTTCTTTCATTTGTTACTAATTTGTTCTCTCATTTTGAGTCTAAACCTAGTGTAAAGATGGCAAAAACTTTGAAAATTAGCTATATATACTTTATAGAAGTATGGGTGAACAGCAAACATACTTAATGGTGAAAGATTAGAATTGTTTTCTTTTGGTGAGCATGGTGGCACCCACATGTAATCCCAGTGGCTCAGGAAGGAGTCTGAGGCAGGAGGATTGSGAGTTCAAAGCCAGCCTGAGCAACTTAGCGAGGCACTTAGCAAATAAGCGAGACCCTGTCTCTAAATAACATGTTAAAAAAAGGGATGGGGATGTTGCTCAGTGGTGGAGCACCCCTGGGTTCAATCCT